TTACTCTCTCTAAACCCGAGAAAAGCTACAATCCCGTGTCAACATATATATAGTTGCGACGACAACATTCCATGTTTCGCGATCGGTTATCAGAGAATCGGTTGTTAACCCCTTGCCTTACGATTTATTTTCAAAGTAAACGAAAATATTTCTCTGTTTTCATATTGAATACAAATTTAAAAATATCCTCCTGTAAGTTACAATGAAATCAGAAAAAGAATTCTCAACATGATTGAAATTATTGTGAACGAAATTTACGAACTATTTAAATTCCGTTTCAATATTATTCATCTTCTAATAATTCATTATAATTATAATAACACGGAACATTTAAATACGCAGCGGGTGTTATCGCCCGCCAAATTTGAGTTTGGTACAAAAAAAAAATGGTTATGTTAAATGATTAATCTGCATCGAGGAGGATTCTCTCGCGTTATCAGAGCAACCATTCGCGTAGTTCATTGAAGAATATTTCTCAAGGATTACGCACGGTATTTTAAGAAGAGTAGCCCGTAGGATCAATTAAAATCGTCCGCAATTAGGTTCGCCACCTTTCGCCGAGCAGGCGAACGTATAACACGTGGCGCTTTTAGCGGCGTCGACAACCGCAGCCGGGAACGCGACAACGATTTCCGGTCGGTTCGTGGAAGAAGAAGGCGATAAAAAAGGATAAAGAATCGGCGAGAAGGGAAACGAGGCGGTTGGTCGCGGAGAGAGAGAGAGGGAGGAAGGAAAGGGAGATCGGGAGGGAGAAAGACCGGAGAGACAGAGAAGTGAGGGAGAGAGAAGAGCGAAGGAGAAACGAGAGAGAAACAAGAGAGAAATGAGAGAGAAACGGAAGAGAAATTAAAGAGGTATTAAGGAGGAACGCGAGAGAAATTAAAAAGTAACTAAAGAGAGACGAGAGGAATTAAAGAGGCATTAAAGAGAAATGAGAGAAACTAAAAAGTAACCAAGGAGTAACTAAAGAGGAACTAAACAGAAACGAGAGAGAAACTAAAGAAAAACGAAACAGAGACTAGGGAAATAACGATGAGGAAACCACAGAGAACCGAGAGAGAATCGAGAGAGAATCGAGAGAGAATCGAAGAAGAAACGAAATAGAATTGAATGAGAAATGAAATAGCAACGAGAGAGAGAGAGATAGCGACAAGACCTGGCCAAATTTTATTACAAATGAAAATAAGAAACAGTTATTTGAAATAATTCATTTCGAATCGTTATTATGAATGCTATTCTTTGAAAATACAAATAATATCGATCCATTTGAAACAATAGTAATTTCAAATAATGAATTATTTATTTTTTTTATTTCAAGTATGATCAAATAAATAATCGTCCAAATAACATGCAACGATAAGATTTTACTTGAAGAAACCGTTGTATTGAAAAGGTTTTTGTTTAATCATATAACATAATTAGATCGGTCCTTTTATCTCTCTTGCAGAAACATCGACAAGATTATCCAGAATAAACCAGACTCAAAGAGCTAACAATTAGATCAAATCAAAATTACCAAAAAGCATTTCAACAATTCTCTGAAACAACCGTTCAAATAATTCTAAAATAAAATAACATATTATTGAAAATAATATTTCAAATAACGTTATTTCAAAAATGATCGCAGGCATGTTATTCGAAATAATATTTCGAATAATGTTATTTCAAATATGCCCAGGTCTGGGTGCGGTGAGTCAACGCGCGGGAACGGCGACGAATCATCGTCAATTTCACCAGCGCGCTGAGCTATGCCAACCGGCGCGGCCCAGCTCGGCGACCAGTGACGTAATCGCATCGCGAAGGCACCATTGGCCCTTTTATCGTGCCCGTCGCCGCAAGAACGATCTGCTTTTCTGCAATGCAAAAGAAGGGGAAGGAGTAACGATCCTCGGGTGCCGATTTCCCACATACGCAACGAGCCGCCGCCACTTCCAGGTACCCCAGTGATAATTTCCTCTTTGCATATCCGCCGACGTTCTGCCAGCGCGTGTCAATGCCTTCGTTTCTTCAAACAGACCCCGTTGATCCCTTTCTCGCCTTCCTCGTGGCTCTTCGTATCATTCTACCAGTTTGCTGTATCATTATCCACGCCCATCGTTCGAGCCATTCAATTCGCAGCGAATTGAAGGACAGAAATGGTAAATATAGAATTTAGCAATTTTCACGGAATATTAAGAGCTGAGAAATTATAGTTATGCTATACAGGTAGTTTAAGGAAACTATATCACTTGTAATCCATAAGGAAACCAATAAAGCTATCATTAATTTTAATGATAATTAATAATGATAATTATTGACGATCATGTCAGAGTGAAAAAAAAATTGCAAATTTAACCACTGAAACATGTGATGAAGTGCATTCTTTTAAATGCATTTAAACGTGATCTGTAGAGTGTCAGATATGTATATTATATGTGTTCATTGGTGAATTAGCAACCAACGCTGCAAATAAAATATAAAATGCTAGAACGTTAGAAATAGTTACTCTATTTAAATAGAATTTGGTCTAAAATTGAATTGATATATAGATCATACAAAAGAAAAAGAGTCTCGGTTATACGAATTCAAACTAATGTCAGATAAATAGCCACTATTAAAATCGAGAATTCAACTTTTCAGCACGCTATTACAGACGTTAACAGTGTTTGAACTGTATTAAAAACGAACACGCGAATCGTAGCACGACACCAATATTTCAAATATTTTCCTTGGACTGCTGACCATGGTTTACATATTTTTCTGCTATGTAATACGAATAATGCGTTCGAGAAAATGAATGAGCTTGACTACCTTGCACGAGTTATCCACGATAGTATGGGACCTCGCGCATACTTGAAAACGAACGTCGATAGAGTTCGCAGTGGCAGAATAAATAGCAATTAACAGAACAGGTGACCCTGTACAGGTGTTACTTTATGAATTTTTTTTAAATCGAACGATCCTTTTGCTGTGGTTTTTCACGTTTCTGTAACGTTCAAACGAACCGAACGTTCTAGGTTGTTAGAGCCAGCGGCAAGTAAGATGGAAGAAGCGTGCACGGTAATATGTTACAAGGACACGATAGTTGTCGCAGCTGCCATACTCGTATCGGCGATATTTCTTCTATACTGAACCGTTAAGTGTCACTGTCCATAACAGAGGAAAAGACTTTTTCTGCGCAGGGAAGTTAGCTCCGGTTGTGACGCCTCGCTTCATCAAGGTACCTTGTCACGATGCAGAGACAATGATCCTATAAAGAGGACTATTTGTCGGTGGTCCGTGCAGGTCTGTGCTTTTTACCGGTTGATTATTAATCAACTCCACTCCTGCATTTTTCAAGGAAAACCTTTTCGCGAAGATCAGTACATAATAATAGTTCTTTTAAGATTTCAGATCAATCGACGGGAGCGTCATGAAAAACTCCTAAAAAAAAATGGCAACAATTTCATTCACACTTCAATAAAATATTTCGATTAATATTTATTCTTCTGATATTGTTATTTAGACGAAAAAATTATCGAGCATGCAGTACAATTATTGAAATCACAGCAGCACATTATATCACGTTTCAAAATAATTTTAAGAAACTTCTACATTTCAGAAACTGTTAAATTTGTAACTGTTGCGCGAGTCGCGAAATTCTATTGCAACGAGTTACATAAAATGGATACACTGTAAGTCGGAAAAACTATTTTGGATCACGAGTTAAAATGGCTCCCCGACTGCAAAGGGTTAATAGGCTGCCAGTAAGTAAAGTGTGAAGAGATCGGACAAGGAGAAACGCGCGCAGAGACTAGCGATGGATTGCCCATAGTCGTAAAACAATCGATCCCTGATTCACAATGGGGTATCAAGAAAGGAGTAGCTCCGACATTGAAATGTCTATCGCTTTCCCTTCACGGAGCCCCTAACGACGATAGCTAAACGACTGTTTGAAACACTTTACAGTCTCTTAGAGCTCTCATTTCGTGCTGTCGAGTTTCAGCAACATCAGAGGGGAACAAGAAGCCGGCCGTTCCTACGATACATCGCTCGCCGATGTTGAAAAACTAAAATAAAAGCTAACGAGTTAAATTAAAATGTTTCCTGTTTATTCTCGTTTAGTGGGCACCATAGTGATGCAGAGTTATCCTCGTCAATTCCTGGAACTTGAGGAACAAGGGACCAATGTTTCTCGCTGTTATCCCCATAAGAAGGTAACACCAAAGGTAACAACGAAGGCAGCAAACGATAACTTTGAAAACAACTTGTCTCCTTTCGCGGCAAATCGCAACTGCGTTTATGCTGATTAAAGACAGCATATTTCGCAATCGATTTGCATCTTGATAATACTGTACGATTAGTGAACGGATTTCTATGCAAAATAAAAGCCGTCTGCATCAACTGCAAGACAAAAGAGATACAAAAATTGTTAATCCCTTGGCTAATACCTGTTAATGAGTTACAAATGATAGAAAAACGTTTTTACCGTTTCGAGATTGATCTACTCATGTTTGTTACAAATGCATGATATCCACAGTCTAATTAGCCTGAACGATATTTTTTAATTGTATCGATGTATCGTGCTGTCATAAAACAGTGCAGATCGATTAACCCTTTGCACTCGCGTGGCGACTTTGAGGCACCACTAAAATTCGTTACGTAGCGTTCTAAGGTAATTTTTATATTAATAAAGTTTAGATTCAAAAAATTATTGAAAGCGTAACTGTTGTACGAGTTACAAAACTCGTACTTCGTACGCATAAAATACATTTTTCCATATAAAATGAAAATGCTATAAGTCAGAAATGTTATTTTACATTTACAGATAAAGTAGCTTCGAGCGCAAAGGGTTAAAATGTGCACGCATTTACGTTCATTATAATTTACAAATTTACAATGCGTAACGTACGTATCTTGATGAATCTACAGGATCAGTTTCTCCATTTGCAGTAACTACAATCGATATACCGTTAAATATCGCCAAGATATCGTTGCAATATCCGGAATGGATAGTCGCGTCCCAAATCATGCGTTGCTTTCTTTGCTGCTGAAAGGAAGCTCGACCGACCGTCGGGAAATGTTTCGAGGGAACTTTTGGGGAATCGCGCGTGATGGAAACTGGTCGTAAGGTTCGCCAGTTCGCGAAACGATATTCCAGAATTCGTGGTGTTCCGTGGGACGACCTTAATACAGTCATTGAAAGGCCAGCCGCGGAGAGGATCGTCGGGGCCTGGTCTTCTTTCCCTCTCCGATGTTCGGCGCAGTGTGTTCGAGAAGTTTATTCTAGGACGACGAAATTCACAATAACGATCCGAGAGTGCCGAGGCCTCAGACGAGCTCGAGATATTTCTGCGCGACGAATTAGCAAGTTCGGCTGCAATATACATGTGTGCCGGTTTGTCGCTGCGACCGTCGTCGTTGGCGGCGCGGGAGAGGGCGCGAAGACGGAAAGAAGGAGAACGGGAGTCGTCGTAAACGTGAAAATGCGAAACAAACGGAGAACATGGGAGAGTGTGAGTCGAGCGGAAATGTGCCGAGTCAAACGGAAATATATAGAATCAAACCGAAACGTACAGAGTCAAACGAAGACGCGCACAGAGTCAAACGAAGACACGCAGAGTCAAACGGAAAACGAAGGGAGTCTTGGCGCTTTGATGAACAAGCTTTAGATGACGACTAACAATTGAATTACTGCTGTTCACATTCATAATTAAACGATTGAAATATTGCTGTTAATCGTTAATTTAACAAAATATGAATAAAATAAAAAATAAAATATCAAACAAAAAATATAACAAGGTAATGAACACGATAAGGACAATTCTGATCAGAATTACATCAAAATATCCTTCGAAATCCATTAAAAAATCAACAATTATTAATTGGCTATTTCAATCGTCAACTCATCGGCGATTAATGCCTTGAATTGTTTTCACCGACCATATAATCGTATTAAAAATTTCAATCGATCGATATCCATACTGTTTCTCACCATTACCGCAACATGATTATTATTGATTATGCCTTTTTAACTTACGATTAGATTGCGGATTTTGTGCATTGGTAACGAAACTATGTAATTGAAACACAGAGTAATTAGATGCAGATTGTATCCATTTATGATTAAAAGATGTGGACGAAATAGACTGAATCCACGCAGATTTTCTGAACAACAAAAATATATAGATGGAACACAGAATGATATTTTAGGTTTCTTGAAAGTCAATATCTATATTTCTTAATATTATGTTTAATATATTATTAAAATGCCAGTGAATTCAGTCGAGTTCGGGAATCATTTCAACCAAAAAATTCAATCGTTAAGGTGCAAATAAAATTACTCTTAGGCTGGTGAAAACTCGGAATGTGCCGAGATCGTGGGAGAACTGTAACACGGTACTGATCGCGCAAAAACGAAACGATACTATCTATCGAGACGGGCAAACGTTGCGACAAAAAGCCAATTACACTTGGTTCCCAGAGGGTAAGGTGAGAGGAAAAAAGTGTAGTCGGCGGAAGAAACTGCAAGTCTCGTAGATTACGATGTCAGCGAGGCAAATCGGATGTATCATCGGTTTCGCTGAATAGGTATTAATATCAAATTGACTCGCGAACCATTTACCTGGTTCGTAGAATGACGCATGTTCATCACGATTGCACCGAATTCTTTTCTTCTCTCTCTCCATCTCCTTATCTATCTCTCTTCCACTGGATTATGCTGAATCACACTTGAAAGCGAGATCGACGAACGCGAAGGACAGTTCTCTGCATCCTTTGCGAGCAGTTGCGCTCGGCAACTCGACGACAGGTTTTCCTTGCCTCGCTTAATCAGTCTCCGTTGGCAATTACGGCCACGCGTCGAGAGAATGTCTTTAACGAAGAAACTATCGAACGGTAAGTGCGTGGAAAACGTGTAACGATGGCGTTCTTATTGACCTGGATTTTCGTTACCAATTACTTTGATCAATTCATACCTCTTTATCTCTATAGACTCGTCAAACAGAGGTAGCTAAATCAAAAGCTGAGAGGCTAATTACGGCTCTGCAAAAGAATGGTCTTGAAAGATACATCACCGTGTGTTTCTGTACCGATAATTTCTTGGATGAGTAACGCCAATTTTTCAGATCGATTGCCGGCTTATTCGTGGTCGTGATTTATCATTGTACGACCTATATAGAAATTAAATTGGTTGAATTAAATTTGGACATTGCGAAATTGTTCTGTAATTAATTAAATCACGAACGTAACTGAACCGTAGTTTTATTTGATATTTTCACTGTTTCAGAAGGACACGTTTGTCTTCGCTTTTGTCGGCAATGCGTGGAAGCTAATATTCGGAATTTTAAAAAGTTTCTATTTAAAAAAAAAAAGAATATTATACAGATAATTGCGTACTATAGATCATCCTAGATTTAGAATTCGCACACTTTCGATCAAACGGTAAAACGAACAAGATATCGAATAACGACTAATACGACGAGGAATTAAACATAATTTGTTCAACGCTTACCGAAACCCATTCCAACCGTATGAACTGCATGAATGCGCCCTTTGACCAGCAACAAGTGTCGCTTAAAATCAATTGCCAATAGCGCGCGATGAGATGAATGCGACGAGAAGAATTTGTTGGTTGAGCAACGATAATGAGCTTACGGTGTTCATGGGATTGCGGGACTCGTTACGGCAACGAGGACCGCCAATTACGACGAAAGTGTGACGGCTCTTCAAGCGTTCTGAAAACTCTTATAGCTGATAAAGTTCGCCGAGCTAAAGCGACCAAGTTCAACGATCTTTAAGCGGGCAGCATTTACGATTATTTATTCATAACAATCGCTAATATAGCGAGGAACTATAACGTGAAGATTAACCGTTAGAAGGAGTGTTGATAGACCAATGCCATAAGTCACAAACTTTTATCTAGGAACAAAACTATAGTCTCTGGTGTGCAAACGTCTTTGAAATATAGCATAATTACTTAGGTACTGTTCTATTGTAGTTTGTATATCCGTGAAAAAATATGTTTATAAATGTTTAGAGAGTGAAAATGATCGATTAACTTCTGCAATTTGTTTTACTTCACAAGTACACTGTATTCTGGTATAAAAGTCACAACAATTTATTCAGTAAATCAACGGTTGAGGTGTAGTTTTAATTAACTGCAAAAAAGGATTGCTTGTCACTGTTCTCGATTCTTACCGATAACAATCGAAGCCGCTTATGGCATAAACGATAATAATCATAGGAACATCGAGTGCCGACGATTCCTATACATATTAAATTTTGCGATCAAGACAAGGCTTGTAGTAACTGTAGCAAAAAAAATGGACCCGCATAATTCGAGTGATCGAAAGCACCCGGTTATCCGACGACGCGGTCGTTGCGAAACTTGCAAAAGTGACCTAAATCCCGGGTACGGGCGGCAATATCTTAGAGGCGTGTTTAGAATGGTCTGAAGATAGCGGCGAACGCTCAATGGCGTCGTCGCCAGGACAATTGA